AAAAAAAAAAAAAAAACCCCCCCCCCCCCCCCCCCCAAAAAAAACCCCTTTCATTCAAAATGCCATAGGTTTGAATTTCACCTTTGCTGCAACACCTTATCCAAAGCATTTGTGCAATGTCACAGCCACGGACAGGGTGTTTCAGAATAACAAACATTCTTGCTCTTCACTCTTGTTAGTGTTGACTGCAGCTCTGAACAAAGGCGAGGGGAGTAGACCCCATGACTTTGAGTGAAGGAAAGAAATGGAGTGAGACCCGCCAATAACTCTTTATTTTACACGTGTCATGGAACGGAGGGGGTAAGCACCAGGGTCTGACTTATGAAAGACTAGAACGGACCCTTCAGCTCATATTAAAGCCCTTCACCTGACGGCTCAGCGTTAACAAGTTCACTAGGAGATAATCCTGTTTTGGCAGGGCAGAGGACAAAACCTGAGCCAGTCTTTCCTTGGAGAGTACGAACGGCGGGCCAACTCTGCTGGCCCATTGGGCCAAATACTACACTTGAACAATGTGATAGTTACTACAGCGGCCAAAGCTTAAAAACTTGTCTTTTCAGAAACGTAAACAATATAAAAGAGTTTCAATAACAGGCCACAACCTTAGAGGTTTTTGAGCTTAAATACCTGGGAAACGCATACTTTGCCAACAGATGAAACAGTAAGATACATACAAAAAAGTCAAGAGATACAAGTTTAACAAATGTTTAAAATAACTGGGCTTCACCACAGAATCTTCATTTGAAGGTTACTTTCATGAGAAAACACATTCCCTGCAGCATGTAGACTCCTTCACAAAGAGACAGAAATCTGGTCACGTCAGTTATCCACTTACTGAGGAAACACCGCAGGGTTACAGGGAGCGTCACAGACTCGCAACTGCCAAAGCATCGTCACAGAAAACATAGCAAACAGGTTGTAGGCAAAAAAAAATACTCGACCGTGTTTACCTACACACGCTATTGGAGTATACAAGACAAAAAAAAAAGGATGGAGAGCTTCATATAGGGTATTTCCAGTCATTTTGAAAATGAAAGATATTTTTTCTTTGAAAAAAATAAAGTCAGAAGTTCCCAGATGCTGTTTCTCAAGGCATGCTATAGCTATAGGAGCCGATGGCTCAGACTCGCATCCACGGAAACGGGTATTTTACCTAAAATGGCTTTCCTGTCTCTCCAGTTTGTCATTTCTGAAAGTCTCCTAAGTAGCTTTTGAATAGACATATCTTCCTTGCATGCATCTACTAAGACTCCCTTGTTAATCCCAGAATCTCCTGTGCATGAAGCTCAATGAGCAGAGCAGCCCTCAACTGTAGCTAGAAGATAGTTTCAGATTCTGGATCCCTCCCTAAAGAATAAAAGCGTATGACAGTTACACATAAATAGCATCTACAAATACACTTACAGTGCACACGGAAAAGTAGTGAACATGAACAGATTTCAAAGGCTGACTTGACTCTACCGTAAGGCTCCATCATCAGCCCACCTTTAAAACTCGCTCCAGGCAGTATGTCATCGTGCTAGCACGGCAAACAACTGGGATAACCAAACGTAGTGCTAATTAACCATAAACCCATACCTGGGCATCGCCTTCTTGAAACACGCCCCAGATTCACATACACGTAACAGCTCTTCGAATTTCAGACCTACCTCCGAGGTTAAACTGAAGGCAGCAGCGCTTTCAAAGAAGAGGACAAAGCTTAGCCTGTAAACCCTGGTTTTTTAAAGCATAATGAGAATTCAAGTCCTATTCCCCTTCACATTTATAAGCATTTTAAGAATAATGCTACTTTGTATGCCCTATGTATAGAAAAGTGTACGTTTATACAGCACTCTCTCTCTCTCTCTCTAAATAGGAACTATCAACCAAAGTTTGACTTCAAACTAGAATTGCAACGATCCCTGCAATTTGGAAACATGAAGTAGCTTTTCTGATCTCTCTTTTGTAAGCAAAGAGTAGAAAGGATCACATCTTACTACGATCTAACATCCTCCACCAGGAAAATGAAAAACCTATCGTTAACTTTGCGGGATATGCCTGAAACACCAGGTTTGACAATATTGCCCCACGTTGTTTGCCAAAGAAGAGGCAGGCAGCAGGAATGATCGGAGAGTCATCAGCCAGGAGTAAGTGTTTTGGGTTTGTTTTTTTTTTCCTAGCTGCTTAAGTGTGAAAGTTCAAGAATTCTGTGTTTGTCATTGGTGCTGTGCTTGAAGACAGTACCAAATGATTTCTTTTATCTAATAGTACATTGCAGCTACAGCATGTTTCTGCCCAAATCTATTGCTACTTACAAAATATAATAATTGACATGCTCTAAGACTCAGAAGATTATAAACTAATTTAGCCATTTCTTCCTGGTCCTCTGTGGAAATCTGGAAACATCTTACAAAGTATTTCAGTTAGCTTGAGCAATCCTGGAGTCAGACCCAAGGAAGCTAAACATTGTAGTCACCAACTCAGGGAGATCATAATCATGTTTCCAACCCCAATCCCTCCGGGCATTCCTGTCATCAAAGTTCATCGGCCAGCTGTCAGCTGCAATGAAAAGAAAAGAAGAAATACGGAGCATGAGGTTTAAGAAAAGTTTCTTTAAACTTTAAGACATATCATCACTGGCCATTTGAACTACTAAAGCTGAATTTCAAACTGTAAGACTTGAACTGTACAGTAGCAATTTGCAAGCACCTAAAAAGAAAAGAAACTTTGTTTTGCCCTCAACATATAGCAATCTAATGTATTTTCCTACCGAAGAAGCTGATACTAACCTATGGCCTGCCTGACTTCATCCACATTGTAGGTCACCTGGAGTTCAGGAACGTGCTTCTGCACCTCTTGCGCCAGCTCTTCAGGAGTGAAGCTCATGGCACTGATGTTGTATGTCCTCATGCTCAGTGCCTCTGCAGGGGCCTCCATGACCTCTAGAGTTGCTTTCAGACAGTCATCAATATACATCATAGGGAGACGAGTGTCCGGCTTTAGGTTGCACTGAAATTTGCCGGTCTTTATGGCATCATGGAAAATCTGGACAGCATAATCTGCAGAAAAGGACAATGGATGTGTGTACTCATCTGCCTCAATCTGTCGTTCACTTCATGACAGCCAACAATCCTCAGACTACCCCCAAAGTCTGCTGTCTAAAGTCTAGCAGCAGAACTGTGTATGATTTACGTTGTAGAAGTCATTCCGAACTATCCCGATGCTATTCTAGCATTTGCACATCGCAGCAAGACAGCAGAGTTTAAAATATTTTTAAAGGAAATGGTCTCAATGAGTGTAATCAATCCAAAAATCTCTCGGATACTGTTTAAAAGTAAAGGCTACGAAATTATGCCCTAAGCTGGAGTGGACAAAAGTATTGCTGTAACACTGCTGAAATAGCATCTCTACACTGACGCTCTATACTGCCACAGATTCAGTTTCTACAAACACATCAAAAATGACTGTATTGGCTTACGTTTTTGCTGTTCTTGCCTGCAATACTGAGAACTACGCACAAGTCACTTACCAGTTGTTCCCCCACCAGGCTGAGAGTCAGCGGATATAATTCCTGGATACCTCAGGCAGCGGAAGTCTAGGCCATACCGGTAATGGTAGTACTATGGAGGGAGGAAGGAAACACAGCTTTACGCACCAAGACTAGGCCACACAACTCATTGATTTCACAGGAAAAATCTGCCACCGGATGAACCTTCATTCCATAGCCGTCCCACGACAGGGGTGAAAGAAAAGGAACTACTGAACAGTCTCCGTTCCCTGCCAGGCAGCTGATCTCCCTGCTTGCCCTTTTCTAGTTTACATCCGCATCAGTAGATATGGATTCTTGATATGGATTGGCTTCTAACGTAGGGTCTAGGTCTAGTGTTCAGAAACTGAAAATTCCTAAGTTTGAGAGACATTTCAGGTCAATACAGTCTTCAGACCTGCCACTGTCCTTCATCAGTTTGAAGTGTGAGGAAACTGTAAAAATATCAGCTTTAACAATGTTATGTTTCTAAAAAACTACAAAGCCAAAAGAGTTGTGCATGTACAGACTCCCACGGCTTTGACTTCAGAGTCTGTCTTTTTTTTTAGTGAGGAGGGGGGGGGACACGCAAAAGTCATCATTGTCTAGCATGCTTTTGCAAGGTTTTGTACACTGTCATTTATGCAAGGCCATTCATACTGGCAGATGAGGCAGAGAGGCGAAAGTCAAAAGAACCAGGGAAAGAAATGATATTGAAAGTCAGATGTTTGCCAGCTTCCAATTCTTTGTACTTTTTCCAACAAAACTCAAAAGATATTTGTCCTTAAGAGCTGCCTCAGACTACTATTGAGTACTAAAGCCTGCAGGAAGGAAAGAACGGGGAAAAGAACACTGCAGTGAGGAATCTTACAAAAGCAGTGAAGTTCTCCCAGAACTTTCATGAAATAAATAAAATAAAAAATTCTCACTTCTCCCATGAGCTCAGCGTGAACCTTGGAGACTCCATAGATTGTCCTTGGTCTCTGAATGCAGAGATCAGGAGTTGGATCTCGAGGAGAGGTGGGTCCAAAGGCTCCGATAGTGCTTGGAACAAAGAGTCTCAAATTATGCTCAGCTGCGATATCCAGAACGTTGTGTAAACCTGGAACAACCAACAGGATTTATCAGAACATACACTGCACTTTCTCAAGCCTCTGCAGGAGTCACAAACTTGAAACCCGTGTCACATACCAGTAATATTTACAGCTCTGGCCAAAGGGACGTTTGCTTCTCCAACAGCACTGAGCAAAGCGCTGTAGTGGAACAGCCAAGTTATCCGGTTATTCACCACTATCTCACGTAAATTCTTGTAGTCCAAGATATCCGCATAGATAAAAGGACCTAGAAGAAATGGAACCAGTAGGAAATCGAATGTCAAGAAGAATGGATATAAAGAAAAGTTCTACGTGAAACTCAAATTGCTGCTTCTTGACCATACCTATATTCAGGATTTGACTGCATAGCAGAATGCACACCTAACAGCAGCGGTCAATAAATTGGTAAATAAGCAGGAGACATGAAGGGAAACTGCTACCTTTACCTCAGACTGATGCAAGAACACATGAAGGGAAACTGCTACCTTTACCTCAACAGACTGATGCAAGAATTCCTGTTTTATCCAGTCAATGGCATGAAAACAGGGAACACGTAGCGTACGCTATTCAAATATCTAAATACATCACTAAACAGTAATGATGAAGAAAAACTTATGCAAGTTTCTAATGAAAATAAAAGAATCCAAAAAACCTACTCTACATCCATCTCATCATAAAAATTGCCTGAGCATGGAAAAACGAAGCACAAATTTAATTTCCAACTTGTTCCCTCCAAAAGAATACATGCATCTCTTTCTACAGCAGGAGCACAACAGCCAAGCTCAACTTGACTCAAGTAGCTATTCTGGCCAACAAAGTAGCAAAGCAACAGTGAAAAAATGCAAAGAAAAATATTTAGAAAAAGGGAATAATAGACAGAAGAAATCAATGTCTTGGCACGATTTCAAAGCAGGAAGGCATTATCCAGAAGTTTCGAAGAGCAACTTGTTCAGCTTAATCCGCTTATAATATAGACTTTGGTAATTAAGTCTATAGACATCAGACATAAAGTCAAGATTTTTTTTCCATATGCTTCCCCAGTCACTTACCACTATAAAAAACACTATCTGCAGGCTTTCTAATGTCAGACAAGATCACGTTGTTCTTTCCAAAGTGTTTCCTGTGTAAAAATACCCACACAGTACAGTGAGTCCACAGTCTTCAAGATAATTTATAAAGTGCTATGCTGCTATTTTGTTTATCAGGAGATATATCAGAAGAACAATAATTTCCACAATGAAATCAGCTATTGCACTTAAAAAAAACCCACCGGTCCCTTAAATGTAAATACAGCATCTTATAAAATTAGTAAACTACTTCTAGTAGCCGTGAAAGACTGCATAAGGACAGAGAAGTCTTTTAGAAAACGAAAATACATTGAGAAGACAGACCTTCCTACCTTCTTCTTTCTGAAAATTTTACCCAGAGATAATCTACTCCCCTGCAGACAACAAAAAGCCACTGGGCTTGCTGTAACTGCAGCTACTTTTATATCAACAAAGTAAATACAACTGAGCAATCTCTGCCTCGTGCTTTTCTAATCAGCACAAGGCTGTCACAGAGAGCAAGTCTGATGGCATTGGAGTACATTCCGGCCTTCCATTATTTGGCTGATTTTTAAATATTTCATAGAAATGGTAGAAAACATTCAAACTGCAACAGAGCGTTGAACGCAGTGAGTTTGCTCACTTTTGGCCATAGTCCAAAGCCTCTGCAACAAACACTGTCTATGTGCAAACGATACTCTGGAGCTGAGTAAGCGTGGAGATAGACGACGATATGGACCAGGGAGAGCTCTCAGAGCGTTTTACAGTTCTTGAAAAGATACTGTGGAAAAAATAAGGTAACTGTGTACGTGAGGTGGGGGAACAGAAAGAGCCAGAAGAAATATATTTTCGATTTACTCCTTTTGCTGCATCAGTTCGTCTTTCACCAAATCATAAAAACTTCAAGATCTTGTATCCTAATCTTTACTTTTCTTTGCACTTTACTAAACAGGGCACCTTATTCCTGAAGTTACTTAACTGAAATTCTCAGAAAGATAGAAGTCAGCAGTTGCAAAGCCCAACAGCAGGGTAGTTAGCAAAGGACTATGTATTTTTTTCAAGTGGACGTTTGCACTTTTTTCTCTTCTATAGTACCTGCATAAAATTGCAGCCTTTGTCTCTCTATTGAGCACTCAAATCCAGCCTTATTTGGCTAGACCAAAAAAGGAGGAAAGGAAAACTGACCACCCTCTGAGGATGCAGACTGCTAATACTTCCATTTAACTGGAAGCAAACTGAACTCAGCAGCTGGTCTCTTAGACAAAATTATGTTATTTTGGGAATCGTGACCAATGTACACACAGGAAGTACGTCAGTGAACCTAAACCAAGCACAGGAGTAAAAAATAAAAAAACGGTGAAAATTTAAAGTTATTTACAAAACTAAGAGGCAAAAAAGAATCTGCGTCACTAGGATTCTTTTAAAAAACACTTTCCAGAAAATTACTGCTTCTAGAAGTGTTGGCTAAAGCTTGAATTCCTCACTAATAGCAAGTCAGAGAATCATGGCGTACCTCAGAAGCTTAGCAAGTCCCACTCCAAGCTGGCCAAGACCACCTAAAAGGCAACGCACAAGAGAGAAAAATCAGAGGAAAAAGCAGTATCAAAATACAGAGTTCCATTATTATATGTATCACATCAGAAATGAGTACTATTTTTCTCCGCGAGTCAGAAAGCTTTTATATTTTTCCTCAAGGAAAACCCAATGAATTGGTTTTAGTAGATTTCTGGAATAAAAATAGTAGGAAAGTTCACATGGGACTCTGATCCTATCACCATACGGGAAAGATCACCACAGTCCTAGGATATTTGAGTATTTTTGCTTCCAGCGTTCTGCTCACTGGGGAGGGAGGAGGGGAGCGGGGGACTTGACTGAGAAGCTGGAGCAGGAACAGAGCTATGACAGGAATGCTGACCTGTAATTAGCACCCGAGGATGATCAGACTCGGAAAAAGAAACCGAGTGAAAGCTAGCATCGGAGGCCACCTGCCGGGGTGAGACTCCAATGCATCGAACAGGCACGATGGAAATCCCACATCCACAACCAGAGCTCTGTAGCAGCTGGCTGACAGCTCTGCTCACGTTTTTCACAATTGGCATCTTCCTCCTTCAAATACGCTGTGAGAAGAAGAGAAGAGATTAGTCACAAATGACTCAACCATATTAAACATTTTAAACACTCCCTTAGAAAACTCTGAAGGGTTTAAGAGAAGTTTGATGCAATCCAAGCCCTAGCTGACGTGCCAGCTGCGAGCCACGTCGTCTACTAGAAGCAGCCTGTGCAGTAACATGAACAGAAGTAATGTATTCACCACAGCGAGCTCAAGAAAACATCCACAGCCCCAGCACAGAATCCAGTATAAGGAACAGTGAGAATATAGTTCAAGTTTAAGCCTTTTTAAAACACTTAAAAATCACGATTTCAAGCACAGAAGGCAACAAACACAGAATTCAACAAGTTCAGCTGCTGTGATTACACAGCTTCACTGTAGGTACTTTTGAGTGAAAGTTTTGTAGGCTGCCATGAATAAGCAAACCTTCTCACTTATTGCATCAGCAAGATTCAGCTAAGCCAACACAGGCAGCAGTAAATCTCTTCAAAGAGCGCTGCTTTGCTCAAACTTAATACTCATGATGGACAGTACTCAGGAAGCGAACAAAGAAGCAGTATTTACCCAGGACTCATGAAAATGTCCTAATTACTTCACCAAAAAAAAAAAAGAAATCAAACATGATTTGCTTATAATAACACATTGCAAAAATATCCCTAAGTTACCCTGAGCTACATGCAAGTTTGGTTTTCCTTCTCCCCAAATCTTTCATATCGGGGAAGGAAATGGAGAAGAACGTACCCCAAATAAATCACACAGGCATCCACAAATGGCCTTTTCTGAGGTTCCAGTTTACTCCTTTCAAATACAAGTCTTCAGGTGCAGTCACTTAAATTCTTCCTTATCCCCCCTTCAAACAACTTTTAATTCCCTTTCCCAAAGTGACAGAATGAGTAAATCCCCAAACGAAAACCTCTTTAAAACTAGCTTGCTTGAGATTACCCTGCCAATTCTTTTCTCGTATGTGTTCTTGTTGCATATATTATAAAAAAAGAGAGTCAGGGTGAAGGAAGGCCACAACAAGAAATTACATCAGCTAATTGCTGCAGATGAATTCCAGCACTACCAATTCTAGTACGCATAGAAAAGCAAACAAGTAATTAATGTGGGTGTTCCTTTCACTTACGGCAAACACAGAAGGCTGAGAATTTTCTGATACTTTAGGGAGTCCTGCTATTTAAGTACAGAAGACTTGCTAAACTTATCTATTACATGCTTAATAAAATACCCCCCCCCAAGTGCATTATTAAAAGTCACATTTGCATATTAAAACTGATCAAAGAGACTTATTCTGAGATGCATCTTTCCCCCCCCTTAGACTCGTTTGCTCACTTGTTTATTGCCTTGAGAACCATTGTCAATTAGTATCCTGATGAATTAGCCAAGCCTCTGCTGCACCTCACAGCCACAAACCCATCAGAGGGATCAGTCTCCCTGATTACAGGCGTGATCTATTAAAGCTGTATCTCTCCTGTCCCGGTGCTACAGAAGCAATCGCTCCATCTTCTCTAGGCTTTGCACAAGTCTCTTGCAATTCCTTGTTGCACACCAACTCTATATACCTACATCTAACTCCACCCTAACAAAACTAGAGCAAACAAGCTGTTCCTTGAGCACTGAAAGCAAAGCAGCCCCATTTCCTGAGGGCTCAGTCTAGTTAACTAGAGTTAACTAACTGCTATCTAAGAGGTTATGACATCTTTCTCCTACCTTGATTCTTTCACGTTGAATAGTACAATTCAGCTCATATCGCTGATGGGCCACGAAGATGATGAAGGGACTGAAGCATCTCTCCTATGAGGAGAGGCGGAGGGATCTGGGACTGTTCAGCCTTGAGAAGAGAAGGCTCTGGGGGGGATCTTATCAATGTATGTAAATACCTGAAGGGAGGGTGCAAAGAGGACGGAGCCAGGCTCCTTTCAGTGGCGTCCAGCGCCAGGACCAGAGGCCACGGGCACACACTGAAACACAGGAGGTTCCCTCTGAACATCAGGAAACACTTTTTTGCGGGGAGGGTGACCGAGCGCTGGCACAGGTGGTGGAGTCTCCATCCTTGGAGCCGTCTCGACATGGTCCTGGGCAACTGGGTCTGGGTGGCCCTGCTTGAGCAGGGGGGTTGGACCAGATGACCTCCAGAGGTACCCTCCAACCTCAACCACGGCACTAGTGAGATTCCCCTCCCCTGCAAGCCCACCTTCACAAAACAGACATGTCCTTGCTATTTTTGAGACTCAGTCCCCATCAAGCTTACTTGAAATTAGCCAATAGGCGCAAAAATAGTTAGGTGTGCAGGGAAAGAAGGCAGCAGGCAGACATATCCAGACAATTCAATCTCATAAGACATGTTTCACCCTGGGAAACCAATGTAAGAGTGTTAAAAGGCAGCGTTAGCCCTTTAAAGAGCCATGATAATCCCCTCTTGTTTCAGAATGGGAGAATAAACAACTCTTATAGCACTAAGAGAGACTCACTGGTTTCTGTTGCACAAAATTTTCCCTTAAAGTACCTGAAAAGGCATTTTGCATTTTAAGCTCTATAAACAAAGTACAAACTAAAGTTAGTTGCTACTAAAAATGCCACGCTACGATCAAATTGGTTTCCCACCTACTGGACTGGTTTCTCCGAACGCACCTGGAGTGAAACCGCACAGGCTTAAGCTGAGCATTTACTTGCAAGTCTAGGCTGACTCAAAAGAACAGTAAACACATTTTAACACCAGACACTGAAAAACCCCTGGCTCACCAAGCAGCACAGCTGCATGCAAAAACCCCACCTACGACACGCACGTATTTCTATTTCAAATAGGAAGGGGGGGGGGGGGAACGGGGGAACTAG